ACAGCACACTGGGCATATCAAGGCATGAGGTCTCTGCTGCACGCTGTTATTTTAGCAATTATTCCATGCACATAGAACCCAAGATGCCACTAATAATAGATAGGGACAAGCCAGTGATGATATGTGGTTGTGGGTCTCAGAAATAGATTACCTCCGTCAGATGAGGGTGGCAAAAACTGAATGCTGGACAGGTATTAGATGCGGGATCGTGTGGATGAATGGCTGGATGGTCAGCCACATAAGTAGATGTAAATGTGGATACCAGTGCAGACAGACCACTGGTGTATGGACGATCCTCAAGGCCGCTGCACTAGAAGTGACGTCAGGAACCCGGGTGGATGCCGCTGACCGGAAGTAGATGTGATGGGCCGCAAGTTAAGCTGGAACTGAGGCTTAGGCTGTCGTCATGATTATGCGTTTCGGGCGTGGCCCTTTGTCAAATCATGCCTTTTTATGCCCAGTGTGCTGTGGTTTTACATGGTCATCAGTTTTCCTAAGCACTTACTGTGGACTATTGGATCACAGTCTTTCCTTATGATCTAGGGACGTGATCACTCTATGTAACAGTAGTCTCCACCAGAGAAAGCGCATAAGGTACACTTTCTACCATTTGTGGAATACATTGACCTATAGATATTAGAGAGTGTGGAGATGACTCACCTTTTTCATGTTTTTTTATTATTGAAATCATTACTGCCTACTTCTCTACATAGCGCTGAGCGGGTGTTAGTTGGCTATGTTTGCTTTGTTTTGTATTGTATTGAGCTAGAGAATGCCCCAAGGCTCTGTTTTTGTACTACATATTTTGCAAAACCAATAAAAAGAACTTTATAAGAAAAAAAAAGGGCTCCAGAAAACATAGAGAGCAGCTTGCAGCACCCTGGAAATTACATCAGAGGAGGTCTGAACACCCATTTGGTAAAAACTTAACAACTAGTGAATAAAAAACAAGGAGGCAGCCTTGCAAAACTAAGAAACAGATGCTTGATGCATAAAACACTAACAGCTCTGACAGAGTGTGCATTTAAGAGGGAATAGAGGAACCTTATCCTTTAGAGTTTAGACCATAGGCTTGAATGATGACTTGTCTAATCCACATAGTAATGATGGAGAGAGAAGCAGGGAACCCCTGCAGGATCCTTCATAAAGAACAAGAAGGAATCTAATTCTTGGAAAGAGGCTGTAGCCAAGAGGTACACTCTCAAAGCATGTACCGCGTCCAGATATTTCCCTGGGATGTTTCAGAGCAGGACAAAAGGAGGTAAGGACAATGTCATGGCTAAGGTAGAATGAGGAAACACCTTAGGCCTCAGGACAACTTTGTCCTTGTGTAACACTAGGAAATACTTTTTTTCTACAAGACAAGGCTTCTAATTCAGAGACCCCAAGGTGATAACAATGAGACAGGTCACCTTGCAAGAGAGGTCAAATAAGGGAATATTCTTAATGGATTCAAAGAACCAGGTTAAGGTCCCACAGATTTACAGGAAAAGTACAGGGGGAGAAATCTGTGCAACACCATGCACAAAACCCCTAACTAAGGAATGAAAGGTTTACGGTTTCAAAAGGATCAAGATTGTACTCAAGACTAGATTCTGGTCTAGACCACACTAGAGAAAGGACAGGATGTGTCCCACAGAGTACTTCTTAGGGTAGAGTTTCCTAGCTTTGCATTAAGCAAAGCAGGCCTTCCAGTTTTGATGGAAGAATTTGCAAAAAGCCAATTTCCTAGTGTCCAGGAGAGTAGAATGAGCAAATCCAATAAGCCCCCGTCCATCAGGACCTGGGCATCAACAGCCATGCCATTAAACCTGGTGAGAATCAAGATGGTGCCCTTGGGACAGAAGATCTGGATTAACTGGAAGGGCTCACAGAGAGCCCAACAGGAGCCTGAGTATGTCATAGTACCACAGCATCCTGTTCCAGTTTGGTGCAATAAGTCACTGGAAAGCCACCCATCTCGATCTTGTGGGGCAGACAAGTGAGGCGCTGAAGAGGTGAAAAGGCATGAGCCCCTCAAAGTCACCAGAGCATTAATCGCAAAGGTCCGAAGGCCCCCGCATTTTGGAAACCATGTGTTTATAAACCCCTTTCTGGGGAAATTTTTTTGAATTCCTATTAGAGGAACACGTATATAACACGCTGTATATGTGCTGCGGCATGTGATACTAGTCTCATATATATTTTTAAGGAACCGCATTACTTTTTCAGCATTGAGCAATTTTTGGAAACCCAGATTTGGGTATATACATTGAAGTATACACGGACTGTAAGAACTAGCCTGGACTTTATACAAAAACCACCTGGTTCCCCACCCCCATATTCACTATTCTATATCAAGACCTGATCTTACTTCAAGTGAGGTGGAGTCTCCTTGATCTTGCGTATGAATCACTTGTTATTGTGGATTCACTTCCATCTGGGGTGGCTACCCAGGAAGGTCACATATCCATCTTTTCATGATGGTCAAGCTCATGAGAAGGAAGTAATTGCGTCTATTGTGGTGGTTACCAAATATATTTTTTTGAAGAATGATCTCCCTATTCAGATATCGTGTGGAAAACATATGGAAATCTTTGATCATGTAGTTAGGAACTTCATTGCCTTATGTGGATTCCTGATTGCCGAATAATAACTAGATTTGGAGACGCCGAATGTTTTTAATTTTGTGATTTTATTATGACTTGTTTACCATGTCTATGTCTAACCTCTTTATGATCCATGAGATCAAATAAAGCTTTTTTGTAATTATTAACAAATGTTGCTATATTACTCCGCTTGGATTTTCAATTAACCACTCTGTGTGAGCAGTATTGCACCTGTCATACTGCTATTTTTTATCTGAAGGCCCCTGGACCTGGCAAAAAAACACTGAAATCAGATGCTGAAATGGTCTGTTTGCCAATTTTCCACTCCTGGGCAGTGGACAGGGCCATAATGCACAGTTATGAACAAGTGAGAATCAAGTCTGCTTCTCTTTGATTGGTGCAGCTTCTGGTTCCTCTTGGATGATTGATATTGGCTACTGCTGCCGTGGCATTGTCCATCTGAATTCTGGTCAGCTGACCTCACAGCTGAGGAGTCCAGTGTTGAAGAGACAACCAAATTGTCCAGAATGTTGATGGTAAGTTGAGTCAAATCCAATGACCAAATCTCCTGCACTGAAAGGGTATCCAGGACTCTGGCTGGCATCTGTGGTGAAAACCTTTCACTGGGAGAAAAGGTTTCCCTGACTTCAGCAACAGGTTGAAAATCTACCACATCAAGGAAAGTGTGGCCTTGTAGGTAAGATGCAAACCATCAGGCCCAAGATCATCATGCATTCACAAATCAAGGGCTGACACTTGCACTGCAGGGCCTGTACATGAGCGCAGAGGGACAGGAGTTTGTCTCAGGGCTAAAAGATTCTAGACAGGGCTGTATTCAGTTTCAGGCACGAGTACTGTATTTAGCAAGTAGGTTCCAGTGACAACTTCCAAAGGTTGAGCATCTAAACAAAATGAAAAATGGTTAGGGAAACCATGGCCTTTTAAGGTCAAATGCATAGGTTGGTCCAGGGACAGAGTTTGTCCCATGCTGTCAAGATGTTGAGTTGAGACGGTTTGGAGTGAAACAGTTCATAGAGCACTTGCCTCAAAGGACGCTATCATCAGGCCCAAGATCCTCATTTAATCAGAAATCAAGAGCCAACCCTGAAATCATGCAGCCCAGGCACTAGAGTGGTGAGACAAGAGTTTGTCATGGGACTGAAAGATCCTGTACAGGGCCCAGGTATTCTGATCAGCAAGTTCCAGTAACAGCTTTTGAAGGTTGAGGTTCCAACCAAACCTCTGTAGAGTCTGCACTGTCCACTGAACATTTGCTGACAGGATAAAGGAGGACTGGTCATTTAACAGGAAATCATGCAGGTATCTTACAACATGCGGGCTGCTTGATGGTGCATGCAGAGCCTGACGCTTGTTGACAGGGGTGTGCAAAACTGTGAAGGTGTCTTCTCTCTCGCCGGGGTGGGGGGTTGCCAGTTTATGGGGGGCGGTGGTAGTGGAAGGCTCTCTGGGGTGGGGGTGGAGGCTGGTGTGTTGTTGGTCAATGTCAGGCTCTCTTCGTGAAGGAGGGGGTTTTGGTTGGTGTCAGGGTCTCTTCATGGGGGGAGGGAGACAATTTTTGTGTTGCCTAGGGCAGCACAAAACCTAAATACACCACTGGCACTGGTAATCAAACTGAAGTTCTACTTTAAAGTGATATCAAACCCAAAAGCAAACATTTGTTATACTGCAGCTTACCAATTCTTAGAGGTGATGGCTCCATAACACTTTAAAGTGTCACTAAACCCAGGACCCAATTCACTATATCTGGTCTCCAACAGTACACAGAACATGGAAATGCAACTATTTTAGTAAATATAAAACTGCCTAAATATAAATACCTTTTCTCATGAGCAGTTAGAGTAGTCTTGTGACTTTTATTAGTGTCCAGCAGAGCGCTGGGTAAAGCTTGTAGGAGCTTTCATTCTCCCCTGATTGTCCTATGAGACTGCAGAACCCCTAACCCTCTGTATGGACAGTGCTGATTGGCCCTGTGCTAATCACATGCACTCTCCCAAGAAAAAAAAACTCTATAGCAATACACACCAAATTAAGCATGTGCATCATGCCTCCTAGGGCTCTGTACCATCAGCAGATAGATTGTGGACAGTAGAAGAGGGGAAAATCAGAGAAGTCAGGATCAAACATCCTTTTTACACAATGCAGAGGATTAACCCCTTAGGTTCCACAGTGAGTATAACAAGCATGCTTTACTGCATGTACAGACTGATTGTACTGTTGTGGGTTTAGTAACACTTTAATACCGCTTCATGAAAATTAATGGATTAATAAAATATATAACACAGAACAGTATCATTCACCCAACATTTGAACAATGACAACTATACAGGCAGTGGGGATGAAAGCTCAGCTACATAGCAAGAGGTGACCATTAGATGTATCCAAAACTCTCACCAGAGCTCCATCCGGCCGTCCCCATCCTCTGGTGCCCAGGCACTGCACTGCCGGACAAGCGTCCCGCGTTGCCATAGACACAGACCTACACGACACGGAATATAGAACCAACCAATGGTAATCCGAGGGGATGGGCTCTGATCGTGTTCCGTGTGCAGTCACGTGATCAGACAGGAAGCGGCGTCGAGAAGGCAGTGAGTAGATGTGTTGTATTGTGTTTGGTGCGGAGTGTTCACTCCAATGGTGTGCAGGTTACTGCGTTCATAGGGCTTTGTAGGAAAGAAAGAACTGATTCATATCTGAACAATGTGGCTTTCAGGCTGATATGGGAGTTTTGTCGGCAGTGTATGGAATAGAGGACATCTGCTGCTGATGGTCCACATTGTAGAGTTCACACAGCTGCCAAGACAAGGAGCTCCAGATTCTTTTAGTTGTATTAGCAATACCTACCATCCCCCCCCCCCCAAAAAAAATTGAGGCCCCCCACATATACGCATGTACAAACATAAAACTCACGCGGGGGAGCCTACGCATGACAATGTCGATTGCGATACACGTTACATATCGTCGCACACGCCAGAATGAGAGCAATAATTCGAGCATGAGACCTCCTCCGTAACGCTAAACTGATGACCTATAAGGAGCTTTAAGTGTTGCCTATAGAAAATATAGGGTACCGAAGTTTGCCACCATTTCATGAGCGTGCACAAATTTAAGGTTTGACAAGTTGGATATCTGTTTACTAGCTGCAACCTCATCTTTTATATTCTACAAAACGTAGGGTAATTTATTGCTTTTTTGTGCCCTAAAGTTAACATACTTGTATATTTTACAGAAATTTTGCGGTAATATTATGCAACATAAAAATTTTGAACTACTACTATGTTATTCTCTAGGGTCTCTGCTTTCAGAAAATATATGTTTGGGGGGTTAAGTAATCAGGCCTAAAATTAATTTTTAAAGTTATGCAAACAGCGCAAAAACAGCTCTGGCAGTGAAAAGTATAAAGGATGAGCCCTCCCCCCCCCCCCCCCCTTTCCTGAGGAGCACCCAATCGGTGCTCATTACACTGCAAGGTCTCTCTCTTCCCTGCTAGTCCCCGGGTGCGGAGCTGGAGACAGGCAAGGAGTGGAGGAGGAGATAAGCAGCACAATGTTAAAAATATTGCACGTTTAAGTTGCCATAAAGCCCCTTTTGTTTTTAAAAGCCTCAGATTAAGGGCTCGTTCACACTTGACTGCTTTACCAACGCTTGCCAAACGCCCTATAAATGAAGTTTAAATGGTGTTACCGTTCCGCAAGCGCCCCACAATCGCGTCGCAACCTCACCGCAAACGCCGGCCGGGCGTCTGCGGAGCGGCACCATGGACTAGAATAGGAGGCTTCAACACCTCCTGACTGGACCAGAGGCGTCCGTTTTGCCACGACGCTAACGCTCTCGTTAGAACAGCACCATGTGCAGCAATGTGCAGAATTGTCACAGGCGTTTGGGAAGCGGTAAAAACGCTTCCCAAACGCCTCTCTGCTGCCTGCACACAACATTAGTGTGAACGTAGCCTTAAATATGGTTTTGGTTAAAATGAATTTATTTTTTTTTATCTGGACCAGTAGATTGTCATGAGGGACAAGTAGATTGGGGCACTGATTTAGTCCCTGGACAAGTAGTTTTTTTCAAAAGTTTCCACACTTCTGGGGACAGTAAAAGAAGGGGAGGAAAAGAGAAGACAGCCTTTTTATATAATGTGGAGGATTAACCCCTTAGGTTTCACAGTGAGTTTAACAAGTATGGTTTACTGCATATGTGGACTGATTTTACTGTTGTGGGTTTAATAACACTTTAGGTGTTTAAACTGTTATACCTCTGAAAAGTGCCCATTATAACCCTGTAAATGCTGCACCTATGTGATGTTACCATGGACATTTGCACCATGACCCGCTCACTTGAATGAGTCCCGTTTGCTGGTGGTACCACCCACCAAATGCGACAGGAGTAATAATTTTTAATTTTAAAAAACAGAAAACCTGTTGATTGTGGATGAACATGTGCTTGGTCCAAGTTTAGTTTTGGAACCCGAAAACTGTCACGCTTGCTAAATCGGTGCTCAGTCAGCTGTTTCCAGGGCATTCTCTGACCCACAGCATCATGTAACAAATGGGCAGGGACACTTTTAATCGGGGATCACGTCCAGGTGACTGGTAGATCACGGCCTGGGCTTGCTGACCCACAATCCAGAGCATCAAACAGAATGCAATGTAGAGGGACTGCCTGTAAGGCCTTGTGCACACAGGGCATTTATGCAGCCACTTTTAGGGGCATCAAGTGTTTTTTTTTTTTTTTTTTTTTTTTTTTTTTTTTTTTTACTGCTCTCAAACTCCCCTCCATGTTATCCTGTGTGTCCATGGCCACATAGACTTTTAGTGGTAGGGGTGTTTACAGGCAGGAATAAAACCCAGGGTCAGTGCATCCAGGAGCATTTTGGCAGAAAAAAATGGTTGACACATGTAAACCAAAAGCAACAAGAGGTTTAATTCCTGCTGCAGCACATGTACCTCTTTGGCTGCTGCCTCAGCAGCTAAAGGGGGTAGGGATTGGGGGCAGTAAAACTGTGACTAAACCAATGGGTTTTACTGTCCCTCAAATTTATGTGTGAACAAGTCCTAAGGGTGCTGCCACCGAATGCAACTAAGGGCTCATTCACAAGTGCAGCAGGCACTGCTGCTCCTCTGAAAAGCAATCCGGGTGTGTTTGACAAATGGTGAGGAGGCGATATGTTGCCTCTTCACCACCTGATTTAAACCCATGATTTGCATGTAATACATGCAGTTGTGACACTGTGCCCGGTGATCAATAACTTCTCCCATGTTGTTCAGGTAGATCGCCACCTCTTTGAGGTTCCTTACCCCTGCACTTTATAGTATTGACCTAATATAGCGACATGGCAGCATTTGATCAATGACTTTGTTCAGATGTGGCCATGTGAAGATATTAGGTCAATTATGCCACTCACAGGCATTCTTGCCCCTTTGTTACATGCTGCTGTGGGGTGGGGTGGGGAGGGGAGGGAGGGGAAGGCCCTGGCCACAGCTGATAAGGTCTCTAAAGAAGACACCGGGGCACACAATGAAGTTGAACGAGAACCAGTTCAATTTTAACCTTCTGTAAGCTGTTCTTTACTGTTAAAGTGCTAAAGAAGTTGAATGCCCTTCCACAGTTGGTGGTGTCAGCAGAGAGTGTAGATTTATTCAACCTTACCAACTATGTAACTAGCAGCTGTGGAGCAGGGAATGCCCTGTCTGGTTTAGTTGGAGAAAGAGCTTGCCTCCAGGTTCAGTCTGGACCAAACCAGTGCTTATCCCTACTTCTCTCTTTCCAGAAATGTGTCCTTGTCACTTTCTGTGAGCTGAAAACTGTATACAAAAGAAGAGATTACATTGTTTAACTGCTTCCTGACTGAACCATATAGAAGAAATACTGCTACAGGGCAGCTCAGGTGCGCAAAATCACGTATATACATGATTTTACATTTCCGGGTAGCGGGCGTGTGCGTGGCACCATTTGCGGCCGCAGCTGTCAATCACCGGGTCCCGGATGGTGATTACTCACCAGCGCTCTGAGGATCTCCGGGGAGGAGAACTGTTTAGTTTACGAACAGTTCTCCTCCCTGTCAGCTCGGGTACACTTCATGTCTGTGTGCCATCTAAAGCAGTTTGCTTACAGTGAAGCACACAGACACCGCCCCCTGGTAAAACACTCCCTGCACACAGTTAACCCTTTGATCTTCCCTCAAGTTAACTCCTTCCTGCCCAGTGTCAGTGCTTTTTTTTTTTTTTTTTCTTTTTTCAGCACTGATCACTGTATTATTGACACCAAGTCCGCCCCCCCCCCCCCCCCCCCCCATGTCAGAATGTCCGTGCAGTCCCGTTATAAGTCGCTGATCGCTGCCATTACTAGTGAAAAAAAAAATCCCAGTATATATACGGCCATTTGTAAACGCTATAACTTTGACGTAAACGAATTTACACGTTTTGAGATTTTTTTTTTAGCAAAGACATGTAGCAGAATAGATTTTGGACGAAATTTGATTTTTACCATTTTTTTACTGGACATGTTTAATAGCAAAAAGTCAAAAATATTATTTTTTTTTTTTCTCAAAATTCAATCTTTTTTTTTTATTATAGCTCAAAATACAAAAAATGCACAGGCGATCAAATACCATCAAAAGAAAGCTCAATTTGTGGGGAAAAAAGGACGTACGTTTCTTTTGGGTGCAGCGTTGCACGACCTTGCAATTGCCAGTTAAAGTAACGCAGCGCTGTAACTCAAAAAATTGCCTGGTCAGGAAAGGAGGTAAATCCTCTGGAGGGCAAGTGGTTAAAGTACTAGTCCCATCAATCTACCTTGTAATGGAGATAAACAAAGACAGACATGTTTCATTAACCATATTTTTCCATAGATCCCATGGATTTGATGTAGACCAGCAATGGGCAAACTACGGCCCGGCGGACCTTTTAATCCGCGCGGAGCTAGGCTCCCGCTAGGCTCCTCTCACAGTCCGCCCTGAAGACCGGTGTAGCATGAAAATTGTCAATACTTTCAGTACAGCGCAGTGCCGGAGATGTGAGGCTGCCCTGAAACTTGCGTACGTCGAGGGGGAGATCCTTAGGAGACAATTTTCTAAAACGGAAGGGGAGGTAAGTGACACACAGGGGGGACTTGGGGACTAATATGGGGAATGAATTACGGGGGATGAATTACTATATGGGGGATGAATTACTGGGGGAGAATTACTATATGGGGGATGATTATGCTTACTATGTACAGTTCTTACTAGGTGGAGACACATACACATCCCTCAGGTCCGGTTTATCAACCCATTGCGGCCCTAAAGTCAAAAAGTTTGCCCACCCCTGGTGTAGACAAAGAGGGACAAGAAGTGTATTATTCGCAGCATTGCCACGAGGAATAAAGAGGCAAAAAAGACTGGAAGTAAAGTAATCCAGCTACTACATCTAAGGACTAGTAACCTGCAATATACATTTTTTTTTTGTGTTTTAAATTTAGATACTTAACCTGAAGTCCTGCAAATTACCATTGCATTTTACATAACTTAAAAAATGTATGTACAGGGACAATGTATTTATGGATTTGACTAAATGTCTATTAACACAACCCAAATTACTCTCTTCTCAGGGAGGCGTTTTTTTTCCCTCTAGCAAGGAGTTAGAGGAGGAGGGGAGCTATACAGTGACTGATCACTGTGATATCCAATCAGAGGCTATCACAGCGATCATGTGACCTGGAATCGGGAGTCCCGGGTCCCGATCATTAGAACGGGACCTGGGGCTCTCAGTGACACCCCGGTCTTTGTGCTGGGAGTGCTCTGTGCAACACGATCCCAGCACAAAAACAGGTACGCAAATATGCGGCTAAATTCTGTGTGAATTGACAGTAAAGAGAGTTCCAGTTGCACCTACTGTAGTGTCATCTAGTTCTTGGGTGCAATTCCCACCTGTAATAGCTGTAATACCTTGTTCCTGTGTTCCAGCAGTGAAGAAGCAGTTCTCTGACGGAAGCACCCAAGCGGGGTACCAGGCGGTTCATCACAGCTACCTTGTGTTTACCTGCTATTATATGAACCATCCATATTTTTGCTCTTATGCTGCATATCATATACTTACAGATGGATTTTTCAGTTCGAAGGAAAGGAAAGCCTAATAAAGGAGGAGGCAAAGGACATCGCAGTAGTGGAAGAGGTGGGCGAGGAGGCAGAAGAGGTGGTGGCAGACAAGAAAGTTCAAGATATGAACCTGGAGGAGGAGGAGGAGGAGGCAAGAAAAGCTCTAGTAGAGCCTGGGATGATGGAGATGATATTTGTTTCTCAAGCAAACCAGTGGTAAAGAGGTATTTGTTCTTTTAATTGTCTTTTAATAACAGGTTACAGTGAGTTTTTGCTTGTATTGCCTGGAAGAGTGACTTAATTTGCAATTTCAAGTGAACAACTTGATAGTTGCATTGGGTTTTTTTAATAAATGACCTTTATTTATTTATTTGGCCTGTATCAAAGGCTAAGTTCACCGTAGTAAAAAAAGGAAAAAAAAATTATAAATGCACTTTTTTTTTTTTTTTTTTTTTCCAGGTGGAAAAATTATTAGTTTTATATTAGGAGGTTGCACCTACAATCAGCAGATCACAGGTGCAGTGTCAGGCTCCTGCAGGCATTTACTGAATTGCAGGAAGACTTAATCAACTGCTAGAGTGCTCACCAGTGCCCTCGTAGTTCATTGAGAACTACAAGCCGTCAGACGCAATGGTTGATGGTAGTCCTCCCAGTCCTAGAACTCTGTGAATGAATGATGGGGCTTGGGGGTGCGGAGGTGCTGATTTAGTAACCTGTTACACCCTGAATATGTCTAATGTGAAATTATCTTTTAATATGAGTGCCCAAATACAGCACAAGTTTTTAGGAATTGCACTTGGCTTAATGCCTAAAGCTTAGCAGAAGCAGAAATACTGCTAAAGGGCAGCACAGGTGCGCAAAATCACGTGTATATATACGTGATTTGCACTCCTGCGGCATTTATGGGCAGGGGGTGCCGTGATTTGAATCCCCAAGGGATCAGTCATCCGATTTAGGCCAGTGATAGTCGGCCTAAGTTGGATGATCGATCCCTGTCCTATCAGGGATCTTCTGAGTATGTCAGGTGAGAGCGAAGAGGGAGACTCCCTGACACAATCGACCTCAGAATACGAACATGTAGACAGCAGCGGCATCCTGACAGCTCAGGCGATGGAGAAGAGGTTCCTGCTAAGATCAGGCGTACCCAACCCCACTCCCAGGTTGTTGAGATGTTCCAAACGCATGATGACTCTTATATGCAGCAGAGTGCCAGTACTAGTGCCACTCTACCTTTTGGTGAACTGGCGAGCACCTGTGGCCTAGTACATCCTGTTCTTTCACATAACATACCAGCACTGCAGTATCACTTGGTGACATGGCGAGTCAAGTGCAGTACAAGCTGGTGCGGTGGCGAGCACAAGTAGTGTCCCTCAGCAACCAAGAAACAAGATATTATTATATTTACTGCAGAGTCTACTTGAAAGGGTATATACCAGTGTGCAGAGCGCCCTTCAGAATTTCAGCCACCAAGAATTCGCACACAGGCCCGTAGAGCCCCTATTATCCTTACGGATGTGCTTGCAAATCCCGATTGGCAGCACACAAATTCTGCCCTCAACATGGGCATTACTAAAAAAATGATTGCGATTGTATTGGTCCACAGACCCGATTCATCATATGCCCATTTTCTCTGCTGCCATGGCCAGGCATAGATATGAGCGTATAATGCACTTCAACAACAACACACTCTGTTGTCCTCGAGGTGACGCTGAATCTGACCGGCTCCACAAATTTCGGCCCCTCGTAAATCACCTTAACCAAAAATTTGCAGATGTCTATACTCCCCAACAAAACATCTGCATTGATGAGGCCCTCATTAATTTTTCTGGCCAGAAGCATGCCAGATATGGGGTCAAGATGTATAAGACCTGTGAGAGGGCAACAGGCTATACATATACGTTTCGGATTTACGAGGGAAAACATAGTAATGTGGAGCACCCCGGATGCCCAGACTACATGGGGAGCAATGGCAAGATATTTTGGGACTTGGTGTCATCCTTTTTCCATACGGGGTGCCACTTATGTGGACAATTTTTATTCAAGCGTGCCACTATTTAGACATTTGTACAGTCTTGGTATTGGCGCATGTGGCACCATGCAACCTAATCACCGTGGCTTCCCCCAACGGTTTGTAAATGCCCGTCTTAGAGGGGAAAAAGCTTGAGAAATGAGGATGTCATTTAGCTGCAGCGCTGACTTGTTTATTCTAACAGCAACAGGGTCTTGCTCTCAGACTATACATAAGTAGATGTGTGCAGTGCTGGTGGATGAGATTTTTCATCTCTAGTTTAAAAAAAAAAAAAAAAAAAAAGAGCATATATGCCGAAGCATGGAGGCCTGGGATGGCCAGTGGGTGGATGACCCCTATGCTTCAGCATATATATTTTATAATATTTTTTGGCACATTTCATGTGTGCCCACCATTAGAATTGGGTGGATGCAGGGCAATATATTCTATTGGTGGGCATACCACACACTTTCTGGCAGAGATTTCTTCTCTTTTTTTCATTCAGCCCACAGGCTGCATAAAAAAAAAAAAAAAAAAACATCTCACCCAATATACACCCAACTAGGACCAGCGATGTACTGGTGCATCACTGGATTTTGAGTAGTTATACCAGGATGATGCTCGCAGCTGCAGGTATCATCCTGGTATCGTTTTTTTCAGCCAGCGATCGGCTTTCATGTAAAAGCAATCCTAGTGGCTAATTAGCTGCAGGATTGCTTTTAAGAGCAGCGAGAGAAGATGCCCCCCCTCCTGCTGCCTTCCACAGCCTTCTCAGGCAGTCCCGTGCCATCGGGGGAACCTGAGAATGCAGCCGGTGTTTCTGCCAGCTGATCATTGAGCTGATTGGAGACTGGAATGGTGGTAGTCATCTCTATAGTCTAAGAAATTGGAAGCTACAAGCATTTCATCACTTCAGTTTCGCAGGATATAAACAGCATCATTTGTAAATTGGGAAAGCATCTGATCACACCGATCTTGGTGAGATTAGATAATGTAAGGGCAGAGGAGATATCTAGAGTCTGATAGACCCCAGATTTCTCAATAAAAAAATATATGACAATGCCCATTGAAGTTATAGGGGATATTTGCATTCCCTGTGATAGCATTTAAAGTGATCAAACCAAGAGAAAAATTAAAGTGACAGTGTAAAAATAATTCTAAAAAATCAAAATAGCTTAAAAAAAACAAACAAAAAAAAAAAACCACAAGTTTTTGGAAAATGACAAAAAAATCTTTTTTTTTTTTTTTTTTTTTACACAATATTGTCACTTAAATGATTTATTGCTCACACATGCCATGGTTATATGTGGAATTACTCCCCAAAATACATTCTTCTATTTCTCTCGAGTATGGGGATACCGCATGTGAGAGACTTTTTGGCAGTCTAGCCAAGTACAGGACCTCAAAATCCAATAAGCACCTTCAGGCTTTTAAAGGGCTTTATTTCCTCATTACACTTGCTGACTACCTATCACAGTTTCGGAGGCCCTGAAATGCCAGGTTAGCACCAAACGACCCCTTTTTGGAAAGTTGACACCCCAAGGAATTTAATAAGAAGCATGGTGAGTATTTTGCAGATCTGTTTGTTGCCACTTGTTTTTGGAGTATGAAGAAAGAAATCAAAAACATATTTTTTCTTTTCTTTTTTCGTATTTCAAAACCTTGTGAGGAAAATGAGATCTGCAAAATACTCACCATGCCTCTTTTTAAATTCCTTGGTGTCTACTTTCCAAAAAGGGGTCATTTGGGGGGGGGGGGGGGGGGGGGGCTACCTGGCATTTCAGGGCCTCCGAAACTGTGATAGGTAGTGAGGAAGTGAAATGACGAAATTACGCACTTTCAGGCTTTTAAAGTGGTCATTGGATTTCAGGCTCCTGTCTGTTTCTAGGCTCCCAAAAAGTCTCACACATGTGGTATCCCCATACACGGTAGAAGTAGCAGAATGTATTTTGGGGTGTAAGTCCACATATACCCATGGCTTGTGTGAGCAATATATAATTTAAGTGACAATTTTGTGAAAACAATACTTGTGGAAAAAACATAAATCTTCCATGGACTCAATATGCCTCTCAGCAGATAGCTTAGGGCAGTGGTTCTCAACCTTCCCTAATTCTGTGACCCTTTAATACAGTTCCTCATGTTCTGGTGACCCCCAACCTTAAAATTATTTACCCAGTAATTATATATTCATGAAGTGTCTTTTTACCTCCAATACTGCTGCTTTCACCACAGTAGCTGCTTTCTACACAGTAGCTGCTCTTTACACATCGGAAATATGTGTTTTCCTGATGGTCCTAGGTGACCCCTGTGAAAGGGTCGTTCGACCCCCAAAGGGGTCACGACCCACAGGTTGAGAACCACTGGCTTAGGGTGTCTACTTTCCGAAATGGAGTAATTTGGGGGTGTTTGTACTATCCTGGTATTTTAGCAATGTGAAATGTGATAAGCAGTCAGAAAGTAAAAGCTGTGTAAATTCCATTATCTATACCAGTGGTCGGCAAGCCGCGGCTCGCGAGCCACATGCGGCTCTTTACCCACTCTAATGCGGCTCTTCTGTGTGCCGGGCGCCTGCTCCCCTCCCTCCTCTCGGTCGGCCGCTCCCCTGCCTCCTCTCGGTTGGCAGCCCCAAAAATCCGCGCGGACCTTTTAATCCGGCCCGCGGATGTGGCTGTCAGGATGTGTGTAGGCGGGGCAGCGTGCCGAACGTGAGGGGAGGGGAGCTAGGCTCCTCTCACAGTCCGCCCTGAAGACCCGAACGGCGCGGGAAGACAGCGAGAGGAACGCAAAAGGTAAGTGAATTGACACGGGGGACTTGGCTTACTAGAAGGGGGGGGGGGGAATAGTACTGTGGGGGATGAAATACTATATGAGGGATGAAATACTATATGGGGGGATGAAATACTATATGGGGGATGAAATACTATATGGGGGGATGAAATACTATATGGGGGATGAAATACTATATGGGGGATGAATTACTATAGGGGGGATGAATTACTATATGAGGGATGAAATACTATATGGGGGGATGAATTACTATATGAGGGATGAATTATTATATGAGGGATGAAATACTATATGGGGGATGAAATACTATATGGGGGGATGAAATACTATATGAGGGATGAATTACTATATGAGGGATGAATTACTATATGGGGGGATGAAATACTATATGAGGGAATTACTATATGAGGATGAATTACTATATGGGGG